TGGTGTCATGTCTCCTGGTTATTTAATACATATAAGTTATCAAGTGTTATTTAAAGAGTCTGTCTCGAGTTTTCAAGGAAAAGGACTGGAGAGATAGAGCATCAGGGAGCATACATAGAGCCTCTAACAGTTCAGAAAAACCTTTATGCTAAAGTCAAAGAAAAACAAGCCGACTGTTTCACACAGTATCCATGAATATTAATGGAAAGTTGAGTGGAAGAAAAACATTTAAATATAGGTGTCCAAGCAACAGGAATAAGAAGAGCTTTGAGGTCTGTTAGAGGAAAGCTCTGTGTTTACATCTTGAAGCTTTCCTCTCCTGTTGTTTTTCCTGAAAAGAGATCACAAACTTTTTAAATAACACTTCATTATGTATATGTATTAGATACCCATGAGACATGACAGCAGATTTTGATAGAAATTATAATCTTACTCAGATCAGAGAAGTTGCTTTGAGTTACAGAAGGCAGCTGCTCACCAACCGGGCTCACATCTCGTGAAGTGAGCCCCGATAAACAGTTAGAGATCCTTTTTATACATCTCCAGTCTGCCACATCATCACATCATACATGTTTGCAGATGAGGAGACATCCATGACTCCAGCCTATAAAGTATAAAGCTAAAAATAAAATAAACTGTTCATTTGGGTGATTATTTAAGGTTAAAGAGCTTCATGTTTCCACAGCTTATCACCCAAACCCTTGACCCTTATTGGACACTTCTTCGCCGTGGCGCTGTACGCCATCTACTTCAACTTCAAGTCCGAGTCGTGGAGCACCAAACCTCGGGCGCTGTGGAAGAGCGCCGCCATCCTGTACCGGGCCTGCACCGTCATGTTCCCTCTCATCTACTCTGAGCTAAAGTACCTGGTCTACTAGGGGGCAGCATGGGGGGGACATAAGGAGCCCTCCAGACGTCCCGGTTTGTGCCTTAGTGTTGGTGATGATCACAGCTGTAACGGATGCACGCTGGAAACTATGCAGCTGCTTTGACTTCAGGAGCAGATTTATTTAACCACCTCCCAGTTCTGCATCTGTACATGTTGGATGTTTGTAGCTGGAGAACCGAAGCAGAATCCTGTCCTGCTCTTTCTCTGAATATCTCTACCTGGGACTAATTAAAGAGGAATGCCTTAACGAAGGCCTTATTGTGAACACGGAGCCTCGTTTGCTCCAGATCTTACATCCTGCCGCTTTGCTGTATATTTTTAAGCTTCTTTTATGCTGTAATTTGTTTTGTAATGTTGATTAAATTTATATATTGTGAAAATGAAACACAGGGATGGGGAGGCTAAGAAGGGCTTTTCTGATGACCTTTGTATTTTTCTTTTTCAAAGAAAATTGTACTTTAACATCGTTTCTGAGTAAATAAACTATGTAAAACATTGTTTTCTTTGCCCGACTGGATTTTGGTGCATATTTTGATTAAAGAGAAATAGGATCAAATATATATTTTTAAATAAATATACATATATGCACACATACATATGTACATTCAGGACATTGACAGCCTTTCTAATAAATTCTTCTACTGTAGTGATCATTGTAACGGGTTTTTATAACCAAGACGGACAATAATAACAAATGAAAATAGTATATAAGTTTAAATAAAGGTTTTCCAGTGATTTAATTTCTTACAGGAGTTGGATGACAGTATTATGAGGCTAATATAAACAACCAGCAGATGGCGCTCTCCCTGTCTTTTTAAACAGATCAGGTCACAACAGCCTGGATTTAGTGATATTTGCAGGATGTTTCAGAATAAATGTGATACAATCTTCCTTTTTCACCGGATCAACGAGGCTCAGAGTAAAATTATCACAGGAGGGTTTGATGCTCAAGTTTCCAAATTATCCCAGGGGCAGATTTAGGAAATTTGGGGCCCCCTCTGAACTGAGAAGACGACACATAAAACAGACCCATTGTATAGATAGAGAAATGTTAATAGAATAGACATACATTATTTGTTCCCTCTCTTCTTATCCCTTTTCCTTCCCGTTTCCTTATGTCCCTTTTTCTTTGCATATTGACAAT